TTCCTTCCAAAGTGAGAGGACGAAAATCCGACATCCGGGGCTATACCCAGGTTAGTGAACCATTGGTAGTTCATCTAGGGGATGTGGCCAAAACCCTGATTCCAAACCAACCATGAGGTGTACGAACCACACACACAACTTCCTGGTTGTGGCAGTGGTCACCGGTTCAATTGGGCATTGAATTGTATTGGGCACCTTGAACGTTTCATCCCGTCCAAAGGGCGTATGATCCAATGAACTGGACATCAGCCCTCAATGGATTGCGGTTTTCGCATACTGCCTCGCTGCCTTACGGGTCAGGCTTTGGCTACGCAGAGGCTCCGGTTGTGGATTCCTCAAGCAAGTTTACGTGCTTTGGTCTGGGTAACCTGGCAATCTCCCGCCCACATGCATATCATGGAACGTCTTTCTATTTTATAAAGATGATTATACCATGATTTGTTCTGTACAGTTCGGATTCAGCCGTATGTGAAAATATATAGATATATATACTCTTACATCTAAGTGAACAGCCAAGGAGAAGCAAGTAAAACCGCCGCACAGAAGCGCATGGTTAAGGATTGTGAGGTCCCAGCTGAAATAAACTGTTCCTGCTGAGCAAACGATATCACCCGAAAACTCAAGTAGCTGTCTGCAAAGCAGTTTGGAGACATTATTCCGTTTGACGACATGAGAATGAGACTACAAGCATTACATTTGTTTTCGTTCGCACCTCACCGAATCTGATCTCACATTGACTGTGAATAAGGCATTTCGTCCTCTTTACCCTGTTTGGGATCACTAACCCAAACCAAATGAAAATCACTTCATATCCATCGCCGAGGTGTCGGAAACTAAGCATAGACCCGCCAAGGTCGCGTGAAAGAAGGTTAGAATTACAGTGTTACTGCTTAAAAGCCCAACCACCAGCCTGGTTTTGTGCGTTATTGGTGCAGTCAATGTTATACGCTATCAATGGCATCAAATATCGTGGAGAAATGAAAATGTTGCAGGACGTCCCCAGTTCCCATTGAAAATCAAAAAATATCTTCACTGCATCAGAAGGTGCATAGATCATATGCATTCCATTTAATACTTTTGTACTAATGTGATACGTGAACCAGCTCATGACTCGATAAACATTAAACTACATGGTTTCCATTGTTAAAATAAAAATGAGATCTATTATGAAGATGGTGTAAACATTCTACCCAGGGGTCACTCATAAACCCTCCAACAGCAAATGATTGTTTGGATAAATGCATTCAGTCGTTTTATTAACCAATTATAAAGTCTGTTGAGTATCCATTGGGGCAAATGTAGAACGAACCGGAAGTAGATCATGACAGTGAAATGAATATAAACTGAGTAAGATGATGAAGGTTGGGATTACGTAATCTCAGGAGAGAGAGAGAAAGGGAAATAACTATCATGGAATTTGGAGTCATCAGCTGATTATTGCATTCTACAATTTGCTAATCACTGATTCTCATATTCGTCGTAGTGTTTACCAACTTCAGACGGTGAGCAAAATAGCACTCGGAACGACCTTTCTGGAAAACAAAGAAGTTGCTTTTAATCGCTAACAGTTAATAATTATAAAGTACGCATGATTGGCCGAAATTCATTAGACTATGACATATCAATCAGTGTAAACACAACAGTAAGAGATGGACTCTTAAATGCAGAGGCGATGTGTAGTGTAGGTTTCTGAAGGCGATTCAGATGAACAGATGATTTAAACAGCGGCGATAGTGTTTGTGAACTGCTTGGGATTATTCAAACAAATTACCTTACGTATTTCACTCCGTTTTACACGGTGATCGTTGTCTATCAAATTATCGAGGTGCTTTAGGCATTTTTACCTTGTCAGTTAATATCCCCTTTCATTAGCGCTTGAGTTCTACACATTTGCATAGGTGTATTTCGCGAGGCGAAATGGAAGGGTGATCATTTACGACCCGTTACTCCCACCTGAGAGAAACCTGATACTCTCAGAAAATGTGGCGGGCGCTAATACAGACCTACATAAAAGCATCTAATTGAGCGTTGCAGACGTTGAGCGCTTACCACTCTATGCAATCTTCTTTCTGAAAATGTCCGAAGCAACTATATATTTTAAAAGGAATTAGAATGAACAACTGCAACACAAATCGGCTGATATTATTACATGGTGTTTTCTTCCACCAGTAAAATGGTAATTTCAAATGACAATTCGTCGTGTATATAGCAAATGAAGCATGAACTGAAAAGCTCGGAAGCACTGGGCAGCTGTTTCGACCTGGTTGGGTCTCATCAGCAGTGCGAATCCACCGACCCGACTGGGCATGGAACCGGGAAGCAGGTTGGGTCTCATCAGCAGTGCGAATCCATCGACCCGACTTGGGATCGAACCCGGGACTTCGTGGGCAGAACGCAAGCGTGCTACCCACCGAGCTTTTCAGTTCACGCTTCATTTGCTATATACACGACGAATTGTCATTTGAAATCTAACTAAATCCTCCATTGCCCACATGAAAATGATAATTATTGA